GGTTCCCTCTGTCCAAGCAAGTTCAGCCTTGCTATTACAAAATGCCAATCATTTTTCCCCCTTAAGCAAAGGAAACAAGAATTGGCTTGACCCTCATCCTTAGGTCTGTTAGGGTGGTTCTTCTTTTTCATGAATGATATACATGGACTTTTCCAGTGGACAAGCAGACAAATGTCGGTTCCACAGAGTTTACAAGATAATACTGAGAAAATAGCACAGAAAAGGGAATCTATGAAAATATCATTAGGGAACTACCACAAGTGGCTTCACTGCAGATGCTGAGGCTTGCCTATATGCAGCTCCCTCAAGCCATGAGAAGCAGATGTGCTGAAAGCTTCACAAAAACAAGGCTTGAGGAAAGATTTAAAGGCAGAAGGGAAATGGTATCATGGAATCCTGCAAGGCAATTCAAAGCATTTGGGGCAGTGGTTCTCAACCTTTTTAATGCCGCGACCCCAACCGGTCGTAAGTCGAGGACTTTCCCTGCCCGGGAGCGCAGCGCATGCTCCGGCCGAGGCGTAGCTGGCAAGCGGCAGAGACGGAGCAGGCCGACCACCAGCTGGCCCAGCCCAAGGGAGGTAAGGCACCCGCCGGAAAAGGGGGGAAAAATGGCGGACAAAAAAAATGGCGGACAAAAAAATGGCAGACAGCCTTGCTTGGCGACCCCCATGAAATGGTCGATCGACCCCAAATGGGGTCCCGACCCACAGGTTGAGAACCACTAATTTAGGGGAAGGATGAGAAAAGATGTAGTATTATGAAAATTAAGCAATATATGGTACATTTTTAATTTCCCAAATGCTAGCTTATTCTTTATTGGCATCTTCTTTTAAGAAAAATGCAAAAGGCTCTCATGAAAATATTTAGGTGGGCTTCTTGATAAGCACAGCTAGAATGTCAGGCAGGGAGTTGGTTGGTGTTCCTTATCTTCACTGATGTATGAAATGATTGATGAAGTCCGAAGTTTTGTCTGCTCTCCTCAAAATTTTGAGATGCAACGATTTAGAGAAAGCAGACTGGAAATTGCCCGGTTGGAGATGTTGCCATTGATTTTGGACTGCTGAATTATTGGAAGCAACATGAAGATTACTGAGAAACATGTCCATCATGCAAAGAGACCACTATGTTCTCCTCACAAGAAATTGCTTGATCCTAAGTAGCTTGATAGTCTATTATGCTGATTGGCAGAAGTCTTTCATGGTTTTAGATAAGAGTTTTGAGAAGGCAGAGTTCATCTGTATATAGAGCATACTGCCAGCTATTGCCCATTTTAAAACAGGGTACCCTATCACAGGGCTCCTCAACCTTGGCAACTTTAAGACTTGTGGACTTCAACTCCCAGAATTCCTCAGCCAGCAAAGCTGGCTGAGGAATTCTGGGAGTTGAAGTCCACAAGTCTTAAAAGTTGCCAAGGTTAAGGACCCCTGCCATATCATATGGAGAATCTCCTCATTCCTGCCAGTTTAGACTGAGGAAGTATAATAGTGATGTGAAAGGAATCCATATGACAGTACATGGCCATTTATTTCCATCCATGTGAGCAGCATCTCTTAGAAATATTTCTTGGTCACTTGCATTCTCACAAATGAGAGGAGTCTGCACTGAAGAAGAAGAAAAATCTCAGCAGTCTCTTTCCACTTAAGTGCTATTTTCCTCTTGGTGGCTATGGTTTTGTTTTAATCTAGATTAAAACAAGGTAGGTTAAGTGTCCAGAAGCTACCTTGGCCAGAATTTGATGCCCATGAACACTAACGTGCCCACTTGCCTGCCTCACATGACTGTTTAAAAAGTATTTTTAATTAAAAAGTAAACAGGAAGTAGCTTTACAAAGCAGTTCAGCCTGGGTTCCAGAAAGGTTCAGGTGGTGGAGTGACAGAGAGCTACTTGGATGACTGTTCTATTACATAGCACTTCTGTGGCTGACCATGCTTCCTATGGCAACTATGTCCAGGTTGATTGCCTAGGGCAGGGGTCTTCAAACATGGCCCTTTCATGACTTGTGGACTTCAACTCCCAGAATTCCTCAGCCAGGCACGCTGGCTGAGGAATTCTGGGAGTTGAAGTCCACAAGTCATAAAAGGGCCAAGTTTGAAGACCCCTGGCCTATGGCAACAATTCTATGATGGCAGCCACGACATGGTCTCAAATTGTCCAGTCAGCCTTTTGTACTAACAGATGACCTATCCCTGATCTGTATAATCAGATGTGACAGAACAGCAGACAGATCTGATTGTGAGATCAAGGAGAAACAACATCTAGGGAAATATTTGTCGCAGCACCCCCCCCACCCAAAAGTTTGAAAAAAAGGGAGGATTTTCGATTGATAATACATTTCACAGTATGTGGCCACAATGAGGACTGCAATAGAGTGATTATAACCCACCTGTCAATAAATAAAATATTTGCAATAAAAAAGACATGTAATTCCTTCCCTCCCTCCCTCCCTCCCTCCCTCCCCCCCTCTGGATAGCAGTACAGCTTGAAATTGCCCTGGTTGCTGCCATTAGTTAGATTCACTGTTGCCATGCAACATATCTACATTATATTTTTTGGCTTTTCAGTGCACATCTCTGGATCAGCAAAGACTCTTGAGCTGTCATACATCCACAAAGACATTTTATAGGTTTTTTTTAAACAAATGAAACTATCACACAATATGCTAAAGAATGGGAAAGAAATAAAAGCCATCATTTGTTTAAAAATGCTTAGATTTAATAAGCCAGATGAATAGATCCAGACATCAAAAATTGAACAGTATAGCTTAGAGCATTGTCTCAATCCAACCAGTGTCAAAATTCCTGTATTCATAATCATGCTAAGCCACAAACATTTTAACTATAACTGGATAAATTAACTCCAATGGCTGGCAACATCAGGGTACGCCAAACTCAAACTATGGATGACATAACACATTGACTGGGTGGTAGTTCTCCCAGTTGGAGGTTTAAGAAAATCATGTTAATCATGTAAAATGAAAAAAGAACAAGAACATTTGCCTTATGACATTTCTATTAATGCAATTGTCTAGAAGAAAGGGCTTGGGTAAAGCTTGCAGAAATGATTCCATGAAGAATATCTTACCTAGGATTTCAATAACCAAGCCCAAAAATTGTGCTATGAAATGTTATATCCTTGATTAAATCTTATTTTATCTCCAGATTTTGAAAAGAAAATACATTTGAGAAATTATTCACATGCATGAACATCCGTAGGTCACTGGGTCCATTTCTTTTGTGCTGACAAAAAAAAAAAAAAAGCACGCTCTCTACTTGCCATTTTATATGTGCACCTTTTGCTCCCCTGCCCATCCCCCTATCACACACCTCCAACATTTTAGAAATTCATCTGGTTGTTTCTGTGAGTTTCAGGATGTGTGATTTTTTAAGCCTATCTAGGTAATTACGGCTGTATATTCACTGGGCATATATTCAAGATTTCAAATCCGTGCCAAGAAGGGGAGGGGGGAAGATTCAAGTGACAGAGAATATATTATACACAAGGTTTGAACACTGTCTTAATAGCAAAGATGGCATTTATAGCTACTGTATATTTTTAAGGTTCTTTGGAGTTTTATGACCGGTATGATGCACAATATATAAAGTAGCTGCATTTAAATTTTTCAGTTTCAATTTCTTAAAACAAGCAGTACAAGTGTTATGAAGGGAGCTGATAAAGCTGAGGGAAACAGGCAACTTCCTAGCTGCTCTCCAATTTATATATTTCATTATTTTTTGAATATATGTTTTGATTTTCCTGATCAGTCCAAGGATGACTTATGACATCATATAAAAATAGCAGACAACATAACAGAAAATTATATCTACATCAAAAGAGAAACAGGATACTTTTTAAAAAAAGGGATATTTGTACTTCGAATGTCTTTTTTCTCAGGTAAAGGATGGGCAACCTATAGAGCTTCTGATTTTACTCAGCTGCAACTTCCACCATTCTTCCTTGCTATTCATGCTGATGGGAACTGTTGGGAATGGTAACTGAAAAAATATTTTGAGGCTGAGAGATTCCCTTCCAGATATTTTATGGAATTTCCAATTGCACATCTTCGATGACATAATTGTGAACTGTTTTATGGATGCTCTTTACATACTATTGAAAACTGAGTTAATCTTTGTCTCTCCATTTTTTTGTGTGATTTTTTTTTCTAAGAGTTAGCTACCAGAGCTTGGGTGTCAAATTTCATTATTTCTGAGTCTATGTATTTACTCATGCCTGAATGCAGTAATCAAGACCAGTTTTGTATTTTTGCTGCATATATATTCAAGGAGATTGACACTACAATGTTATGGTAGGAATTGAATGTCTGCATAATTTTCATATTTACTCTGCCAATGTAGACCAAGGGCAGGTGATATCAAGAATTGGACTATCAACAAAGATTTGGTGCCCCACAATCCAAGAGTCCCATATATAGTTGCCAAAATCCATTCATTTCCCTCTTCCAGAGGAAGTTAGGGGCACCACAGAGGAAATTTCTCTTCACTATTGCTCCACGGAAATGTATGTTTTGCAGGCAGAATGTTTTAATTTCGCTCTTCATTATTTCCAAGAGAGGTAGGGAAAGCCTCTGTCTGAAATCCTGGAGAGCCATTCCTAGTATAGACTCTGTGTTTGAGGAAGTTATACTTGATTGTTCATCTCTCCTAAAATAGCCTTCCCTTATTTTATTAGCAGTTGGAATACAATCTACAAATGTGGTTGTCCCAAAGATGCTTTTTCAAGAGGCAACTGGACTTTCTTGTTTTTCTTTGAAGATGTGTCACTCTCATCCAAGAAGCTTCTTCAGCTCTGAAGCTTCTTGGATGAGAAGCGAAACATTTTCAAAGAAAAACAAGAAAGTCCAGTTGCCTCCTGAAAAAGCATCTTTGGAACAACTATGACCTGGATGACTGAGAATCGTCATAGACATTTAAAATTGTGGTTGTTGCAGATTTCAAGAAGAAAGTTATGCTAAGTAGATGTATTTTAATTATTTTTCCCTGCAGATACTAATGTTGTACGGTACATCCAGCTGACAGAAATGAAGCTTAGCAGATGTTCCCAGAGGGAAAAAGAAACATTGTAAGAAGAAACCCAGTTCTGTGGGCCTGAATGGATACGTCCTCCCATAAATGATCACCGGGTGAATTGTCCTCCCCATTGGCTTCACATTAGATTGACAGGTTTTCTCTCCTTTCCTGATGTTACTTTTGATCTAAGAAGAGACCCTGGATCTAGCTTTGGCTATTTGCTGGCTTAGTGATAACATTCTAGTCCTCCTAGCGCAATTGCTCTGGGAATTTGGATGAAGAGAGCAATAGAGAAGGATTCACTTTGCCTTGTGCTTATATTGTTATTTTTGTCATAGCAGCCTTCCAGAGATCCTCTTTTCTCTTCAAATATGAAGCCAATAGCTAATGAAAATATATATATAATGAGACCCCCCTTGTAGTACATTTTAAGTAGTACAGAACGTTCAACAAAGTTGAGAGTTTGGGCATGGGATAGTATCTAAATGAGAATGTGAAAGATGCTGTTCTATATGGGGATGAAAACTGGAACAATTACTTAATATCAAATATATGTTGTTAACAGGCAACAACTCCACATATTATTTCTTAGAAGGCATGACTGGGTTCTAATACATAAAGGGGAAGCATGATTTTATAGTTTTCAGATTATAGAAATTGAAGCACTGAGTTATGGGCTTGCCACCATCTTAATATACACCTTAACTTTTCTGTGCCTCAGTTTTTCCATTTGTATAGAGGGAACAAAAATGTCTCCCTACCTCACAGGGGGTGTTGTGAGAATTTGTTAACTAATATTTGTACAGTGGTAAATAATATTACTGGTGCACTGGACTAAGCTTGCAATTCTTACATGTTGTCTTGATACTTTCATTTTCATTTGTTATTAACTCAAGGTTGCACAGAGATCAGGCTATAATCCCCCAAATCAAGACATTCATCTGTTTATCCATTACAGGCAAAACAGGCAGCAATGTCCAAACATCCTTCAAATGCTAATGAGAATTTTAGCGCATGATTTATTGAAATACCAGAAACCCAGTTTTAGCTTCTAAAACGCCTCTTAAACCCAAAATACCTGACTTCACAAACATGTTACTGAATGACAGGTTCTTTCAATCCAATACAATAAAATTAAGGTGGAGATTATTCTTCAACTGTATTGCAATTGCATGACTTAGATATTTAAATCACATTAATAAATTTATTTTCATTTCAAAGAGATTCCCAATGAGTCAAGGAATGAGTGCAACTGAAAAAAAAAAATCAAAATAATTTTCTTCCAATGGTCATAGGAGAAATTCCAAATGTTTCGTTTTGTAGGTCATGCTTTTCTAATCTTCTCTTTGAGTGACTTCTTTTTTGGAGGCTGGTCAGATGGCTCTTATTCCATATTAGCAATGTTATGTCAGGCAGGTCTTGATCATCCTCCTGCTTTAGGAAATTCATTTGTGGTAAGTGAAAGATTTTATCTTTATTAGAATGAAATCGCAAGAATTTATATTAATTTCCAGATTCAGTGAGTCATTAGGCACTTTGATTTCATTTTCTTTATGAATTTATGTGATTTCTGGAAAAGCAAATCTGGGGATTTTTTTTTAGGGGAAGTCTTATCAAAACTATGGAAAATAGATTATTCTATCTACATATTAAAGGATATAGGCTTATATAACTATCAGATTTCTCCTGACCTGGAGGCAGCCCATGATTTTCTCATATATGTTGTCTTTCTGACAAATGTAAATTTGCAATTTTTTTATCTTATAAAAGCAAACTAAAATATGACGCTTTTCAGTGGTTCAGCAAATATTGTAAAATATCAGTGTTCAAGTAAACTCCCAAACTGGGACTTTCTTAATCGCTGGCTAGCTCCCAAGAATGATGCAAATGGTTCAGGATGAGAAGGCACCAAAATGAAGCAACTGACATGCTAAAATGATCTAGACAAAGTTTTAATATGTTACTGAATCACCTGAATCAGAGCCCATAATGGCCTTATCTAACCCCACCACTGTACGCCTTGCCCCCCACAATACAAGGGTCCAGGAAAAGAGTCATAGTTTTGAGAATTGTATAGTAAAAATACCCAAAGCTGTTGCTCATCCTCTACTGCCCTGGCATTTGAAACAGTCAATGACTATTTAAAAGTGTGAGCAAGGCTGAAGACATTTGGAGACAGAGAGATGAAAACTTGCCATTGCTATGAAATTTTAATCATATGAAATGGCCTGGAAAATTGTAGTTTGCACATATAAAAAGCTTTGCTTCTCCTTCTCTAAAGCAACATAGAATTCGGAACTGGTTCATATTATCAAATGGAATTACGCACTGCAAAAAATGCTAAGTGACTACTTTAAAACTTACCTTCTTTCACCTGCTCAGAAGAATATCCAAGTGAAAAGGCCTTTTGATTTCAGAAGAACAAAAGAGAACCGGAGGGAGCTTTGTTGCTTGAAATGCCGACAATTATTATGGGACATGGTGCTTTTTTCTATTAATATTTACCGTAGGTGGAAATGCCAGAACACCTGGAGATATAATAATATCACTCACTTCAATTTTGCTATTAGACGCAAATACATTTCTGTAAGAGATCTCCACTAGATGGATATATGGAGGTTGCTGTCTAGTTGCACACATCACCTTCTTTCCCAGTTCCCCACTTTTAAAGTACTCACAAAAACATTATTTCAGTGAGGAATCTGAAAAATTAGTTTGACAAGAAAATCAGAGAAATATATTGGTGATTGCACAACAAGTTTGGTTCTTAGCCAACTGAACAACAGGCCCCAAACAATAATGAATACTGTCCATCCTAAGTAAATGAATGAATAGAGGTCAAGGAAGCATTCTTCAAATCAAAACTTCAGCGGAAGATAATGGGAAACAAGTCAATCCAGCACTGAAAAGAAATTACCACAACAAAAACAATACAGGTAGAGATATGAATTATTACTCAAGCTTCTGAAAAATGAAGGTAACTGTTGTATACAGGTAGTCCTTGATTTACAAGGGCAACTGAACCCAGAATTTATATTGCTAATCAAGAAATTTGTTAAATGAGTTTTGACCCCTTTTATGACTTTTCTTGCCACATTTATTAAATGAAACCCTGCAGTTGTTAGATTAGTAACATAGTTGTTATGTGAATCTGGTTTCCCCCTTGACTTTGCTTGTCAGAAGGTCGCAAAAGATGAGGACATGATCCAGGGACACTGCAACCGTCATAAATATGAAGCAGTTGTCAAGCATCCGAATGTAAATCACGTGACCTTGGGGATGCTGCAAAGGTCATAAGTCTGAAAAATGGTCATAAGTCACATTTTTCAGTGTCGTCGTAACTTTGAACAGTCACTAAATGAACTGTTGTAAGTCGAGGACTACCTGTACTCTATGTGAGAATGTTCCTTTCAGAGTCTTTAAATAGTGATTCCATGCTGCAGAATATATATTTCTCCTCTAGCTGAAATTTCTCTGCAATTCCTCTAGGATTCATCATCAGCTAGGTGGTAAATAAAGTAGGGAATGGGATAAGGATAGGAAATTGGGTACCTACTGATGCCGTAATGTTTCTGTTTAGTCATAAGGCAGAATATGGGAGACAACAGACATTCAGATTAAACTCTCTGCCAGATGCTGGTAGTGCATTTTTTTAAACTTTCTAAATTACTGCAAATTCTGAAAACCTGAAAAGCCTGCATTATTTGGTGATAATTGGTTGACTATAGGAATATTGTCCAAAAATAGATTTTAGAATAATCTATTTTTTTTACTTTTTCAAGTTCTTTTTTTTCTGCCAAAGCTTTCAATAAAGAGACAAGTAAGTCATTATGGTATTTTGAGTTCCTATGATTCAATCTAATTTTGCTTTGTGCAATGAATCCGTACACTTTCTGAGATTGCTGACATTAAGTATGCCATTTATAACCATTACAGTGCATTACAATGTCTATGTAACTTTTAATGTTTTAATTTTATTCTAACTAATCCATATGGACACAAGACCTTTATTCTGAATTTTGCTTAGCAAAGGCAACTAAAGTTCTGAAGCTGGTTTAGATAGTAAACTCAGGCTAAATTCCCCTGGTTAAACTCCCTTAACCAAAAATGGTAAATGATATGTCAGCCATTCTTTTTCCTCTTCTGTTTGCATCCAGCGCCTACATTTTTCACAACCTGAGACAATGTGAAATAAGCTGAAGAGAATCAGATTACTGGGCAAATTGCAGAAGTCAGCTTGTTCAGAGAATGCTGCAGAAATAATATATAACTGTATTCCTGATTTTTGCAGTATAGCTTGCCAGGCAACCTTATACCGTAAAAATATTCTCCATGCTATCACTTAGAACCCAGAGATAGTTTTGATGAGAGATGATTTGTAAATAGATTTAGATTCATGAGAAAGAACCTTTATTATGTTTTGCAAAATAACACCTGCTAGCAGAGAAAAAAAATACACTAATCCTATCAAAGATTATTTTGAGATTAAAAAAAGCAGAATGTCATTTACGGAGATTTGTCTGTCCCAGGAGAAATGAGCAAATGTGGACTTCACCTGCATCAATCCATCAGAATAACGGAGTTGGAAGGGACCTTGGCGGTCTTCTAGTCCAACCCCCTGCTCAAACAGAAACCCTATACCTTTTTAGACAAATTGTTGTCCAATTTCTTCTTCAAAACCTCCAGTGTTGGAGCATCTACAGCATCCACAACCCACAAGAATATAGTGGATACAGATGTACTTCCTAGAAATGTATTTGTTTGCCTGGAAAAATTCCTTGCAAAATTATTTTTCCTATAAAATAATTAGAAGTTATAATATTTAACCATAACTTGAATGTAATAGAACATTTTCTGATCTTTTACTACACATAGTAGGTTTACCATTCAAACATGCTCATTTTAAGGGCACTTGCAAATATGCCCCATTATCACATAACACATTTACTGTAAATGTTGTATGTAGAAATGTTGGAACAACATTAAGATTAGACTAGATAACCTGCTAAATCATCATTTCAGAGAAATTTCCTTACCAGATTCCTCCAAATAATTCCTGTCAGCATCTCACAGGATTGAATAGAACCAGGAGAGTTATATTTTTTTTTATTTCTCAGAATCTTCCAATTAAAAGACTGAATTTTAATATTATGTCATACGTGAGAAAAACAGTAGCAAAGCTTGTAATGTAGTCTCTTCACTTGCAAAGTCCTTATAAGATATAGAGATGTATTTGCCTTGAAAATAACCAATGTTGAATTGTATGGCACAATCAAATATCTGAAATTGACCACAGGAAATATTTTATAAGATTTTATATTA